CAAACTGAAACCCACAATACAATCCCATCACCCAAGATCATCCGTCCTGCTTATGTTCCTTTCTCTCCATCTCCTGCTCCACGTGACAGTTGGCCACATGTGTGGATCCACGTCTCTCAAGCTAGGAAGGGAAAGACCAGTGACACTTAGCCTGGTCTGCCCACTACCCTCCACCCCATCCTTCTTGATGGACTTAGAAAGTTTCTCTTCTCATTTTTCTCCCTGTCATACGGGTATGAATCTGTACCAAATGTCTGCTTTCTTTGGTGGCACATTCAGGACAGGGTACTTAGGGGACACCTGCTCTTTTCATCTGCCAGATTCCCCTCCTACCCATATTTGGGAAGAGCAACCCCCTTTCCTATGGTGAGCAAATCCTCTCCCAAGTTCTGGTGGGGCTGTTCCTCATAATATTCCACCCAGCCCTGGGCAGGCATGGGTATTTAGTCAGGAGCCGACACATATATACTCTGTTGATGACCAAAATAATTGATCTATAGATGGACACATGACTTGAAGCACGTCAGTTAGAATCTTTTCAATTTTATTTACAGATGGTAAAAGCAGGAAGGCCTCCCTTTCCCCCTCCCCTGGGTGTTAGCTGAGATGGTTGAAGCCTGGAGCTGTCCCTGGCCATGCTCCACCCCCACCAGCCTACAGAGGACGCTCATGCATAGTAGGAGAGAATACAGTCAAAACTTTGGAAAAAAGCAGAGAAAGAGTAGGAACAAAAGTGAGAATGAGCATAATTATGACTGAACTCCAGGATCCAGTCATTACTGCAGCCCTTATCCTTTCTCCTATCTTAAGTTAGGAGTCAGCACAGTGCCTTTTGCCCTCAAGCTAGTTTGAGTTGGGATTTTTATCTAAAAGTCTTGATCAATACAGGGAGCAGAGCTGTGACAGCTACTGCCCTGCATTTCAGGAGTACTATCTATATATTCCAGCTAAGACTTCAGCAACACCTGGTACATGGCAGGTGCTTCAGACATAAGTGTTGAAAGCTCAATAGGTCCTCCTTGATAATGTTAAGCTCTTTGGTCATCCTCTTGATTTCTTGGTGCATTGATTAAAACAGAGAGACTATTCATCTCCTTCACTCTCTTGTTTCATGCCTATAACTTAAAGATTTGATTTGAGTCTCTCAAACACACTCTCAAACACAGCTATTTTTGCAACTGAAAGCATGATTTTTTTGCACAGCTAGAGAAAGCTATTTCCAACACAGATTTCCAGTTCAGTTTTCTAAGAACTCCTTAAGATTTGCAGCACAGCGGCCCACCGCAAGGCACATCAATCATCTCCCGTTTATCGGGTACCTTTTACAGGATTTTCTGTGATCCTGGTGTCAGCACACACTGTGTCTCAAGGCAGAGGTGATATGGAGGAGTCTGGCAGCTATTTAGAAGGGAGGCCAGGCAGTGCTGTGCCAGTATAATTAATGAGAGTCATGGCTCTGAAAGCCAGAGGAGGGTGGGGGTTGGGAAGGATGTCTTTCACCAGTCAATGGCATTTAAGAAAAATCGGTGCTTTCATAGCCCTTTTACTGCTGTGAGTAGGTTAAGTCAAAGGACTGCTGTAAAGGGCTTTCTGTAACTCCCTGCGAGGATGGAGGTCCCTGTGTATGGGGAAGCAGGGAGAATTCAACCCCAGATTTTTCAGCAAGGCTGATTTCAACCTTGAATGGAGCTCCCAGCAGGAGTTCCTTATGCTTGGAAGTCCTTACTAAAAGATTATAGTTTACGTGACCAAGAGACCAGTCAAAAAAGGTACTTTATTACCATATAGGACTTAGGTTTTACCTGCCCAAAGAAGTGTTAACCTCGGTCCCATTTTCTCCAATCCCCTTGTAACCAGTTAAGGAAGAATGGGGTGTTATTTGGTTTGTTTTCTTATGGACTGTTCGGTAACCATGGAAGGGTTTGTGTGACCTAGAGAGGCTGTTTACTACCCACTGTCTAATCCCTTTGTTATTGTTCTCCTTGATTGTCACAAGCAGGGAAAAATAGTTCTGTCCTGCTTCTAGAAACTTAGTGTAACAACCACATTTTCTTGGTTTTAGTTAGTAATTTTTCTCTGATTAATGGTGAAAGAAAGACTCAGAGGGAAGAGCTACATTAAAAGATTTATGGATATATACACTTAAGACCATGATGAAGTATGATTCACACCAACTTCAGAATGATTGCCTTTGAGGTGAAAGGGAGGGAGAAGGGCCACGAGATGGGGTTTTAGCTGAATCTGGAATGCTTTATTTAAAAAAAAACGAAGGGATGAAGGAATGAGAGTATGATTTGGGTTGTTTGCCTTGTTTTTGGTAGGTTTGAAATATTGTATAATTTAAAAAAATGTAATGTTCTCAAAATAAAGGATGCATAGCAAACAAGTGCCCTTGTTATGAATATTTTTATGCATTTATTTCACCATTTGTCTTTTTCCTATCTGAAAAACTGCAGATGCAAACACAGGAGGTTGGGGGTGGGGGGCATGGATAACTTCTATGGTTGTGTGAGGGGTTGTCTTGGGTATCTTTCTCCCCCTTTCTTTTTCTTGGGGGAGGGTGCTTCCTAATCACCAGGGAGATTAACAGTCAAACAACTCTCCAAAAAGCAACCTATGGCTGGAAGGAGTATCTGCTTAATTTCTTCTAAGCTGGGAATTTGCAGCTGGGCCAGAAAATTTGGGACAGTGTCTTTCTAAGGAGCCAAAGGACCTTCTATATCTTTTCCCAAACTGATTTCTTCCTGGTTCTCCTGGCAGGAAGAAATCCAAGTAACTATTCAGGTGGCTTTTCCCTTTTTTCTGAGAGTCCAGGATCGCCTTCGGGGATGAAGTTTCTTCTTGCCCATGGTGCTTTGCTGTGACATTGTCATTGCCTCTGTTGAATTGAATAATACAAATGGGTTGTTTCTATGGTATCGGCTAAGTGGGATGAAAAGGTGAAACCCTAGATCTTGTGCTGGGAGGTCACGGTGCTACTACCCCCCACACTAACTGTCCGTCAAAACTGACCGGCAGCCAGGCCCCCTGTTCTCCGAGCTCTGACGCTCATTTGTAACTTCCTGAGCAAATTCACGCTTGACAAAGAAAATGACTTTAGTTTATGTTGTCACTAAGCCCAGAAAATCCCTGCCAACCCCCAGCTGCCAGCTTTTCTAGGACCTTCTTATTGGTGGAGAATTTTAAACTGAAGGTGAGTGAGAAGCCGCGTCTCCCAGTCCCTCCCAGCCAAGCTTTGAACTAACAATAGGGCAGGTTGAATGAAGGCTGATAAATGCAAATCCCGGAATGCCGGCGCCGGATCACATCGCGGCTGCCTGGGTGCGCGGCTCCAGCCCCCGCCGCGACCTAGTCCCTCGCCACGTCGGGATGCTCAGTAGACTGCATCGTTTCAGCTCCGTTTGAGTGCCTGCTGCTTCCCTCCGCAGGCCCGTGGTCTGATTCATCGCACTTGGGCCGCTCGAGCCCCCTGCCACTAAACTGATCTGATTGAATAACTGGCCTGTTAACGCTTAGGAGAGGCACCTGGGAGAGCGGGCGGGGACGGGGAAATAAAAGTGGGTTTAACTACCCTCTCTGGCTCAGTTTCAGCTCCACTTTACCGAAAGCAGGTTTCCTTGGTTGTAACAGCATAAAAGATGCTATTTTCGTAGAATGGTAAAACACAAAAGCAAACATAAAACCAAAACAAAACAACAAGAGGGGAGATTAGATGAGCAGGTGGGAATCTTCCTTAAGATGTACTCCTGGCACTTTTTACTTCGGGGCAAACTGCACACAGTCCCTGCTCCCTTCCTTCCCAGCTTCACTTCGCCAGACTCTTTACTGTCCCACCGCCGCCGCTCTTGAGTATCTCAGCCCCGAACTGAGTATCGAGGGGGTTTCCCTAGGGTTGGGACCCTTTGAAACTTGAGGGAGAAAACAAAACAACAACAAAAAATTCATTTCCAGTGCTCCTGGCCGTTGCTTGCCGGGGAAGCCCTCAAGGAGGTGTAAGCCCTGGGGTCCGGGCCCAGCGCTCGGACCCTCGCACCCAGCCTCTGGGTCCCCTGGCGGCGGCTCCAGCTCCAGTCCGCTCTCCGCGGCTCCAGTTCCTGATTTCCGCGGGAGCTGCGGGACTGGCAGGGAGGGGGCTCCCGAGTGAGTGTGAGGATTTGAATGAGAAAGCAGGTTGTGGCGGCGGCGACCCATTCTGTCCTGCCCGTCTCTGGGTTCTACAGGCTGGTCTGCAGAAGCGTCCTTCTGGGGGGCTTTCCTGCTCCTCCACAGGGTTTTGGAGTTGGCGTCACAGGGACCAATAACTCATCAAGCCAGCACTTCGCAGGACTCAGAGGAATCCACCTCTCGAGCACTCCGAGTTGATCCGGTCAGTGCTCTGGGGGGAGTCGGGGTGGGGGACGGGAAAGGAGGAGAGGACTGGCCCTGCAGCCGAGGTGTGCGGGTGAGCAGGTGGCTCGAGCCCCTCTGTGCAGTTCCTGCCGGGACGCGCTCTTTAGGACAGTGTGAGGTGTGGTGCGCGTGGGGACCCCTCAAACGCCTGGCGGAGAACGGGACCACAGCTGGTCTTGGGGTCCCGTACTTTAGGAGGATGGGTGTGTGAGCCCGCGCCAGGATTTAACTCTCAGGTCTCCTGTGGTGGTGAGTGGGAGTTTACGCACGCTCACTGCAGGGTGCTTCACCTCTAGGCGGGACCCCTGCCGATGCCGCGAAGAGCAGGTCCGCTTTTCCCAGCAAGGGGAGTGCGGTGTCCATTACATTTGGAGTCTCACGAGCTCTTCCTGCGCCCAGTGACCCCACTCGGGACCTTTTCAGAGAAGCCCGGGTGCTCTCAGCGCTGGGAGGATTTACTCCATCGCCTTTTCCTGGAATAAACCCGGGGCACCAGAGCGGCGCGGGGCAGGGCGGTGAAGGCTAGTCCCGGACACACAGCCGCGCGCTCTGCGCTTGCGCGGGGTTCCCATGGCGACGGCGCCGCGAGTCCTCAAAGCTACCCTGCTTGCCCCAAGCCCTGCTCCCCGTTGAGCGTCTGCGGCGCTCTCTCCCGCTCCCCCAGACTTTTTCTTTGTTATTTGTAACTCGGAATAAGTTTATGATCTCATTTTGACGTTAGAAGTTCAGCATTAAAACAATAACCAGGTAAAATTTAAAAGACCCCCTCCCACGTCCTAGGGCAATACTGCTTTAATCATAGACTGAAGAAGAGATGAGAAATTGCTTATTGGGACGGTGTTTGAGATCCCCCCCCCCCCACCTTTTAGCCCTTGAAACTGGACCCGAATAAAATATTCTTACTAATTAAGCGGTTTAAAAAAATCGGTCAGGTGTTCTTGAGCGTTAAGGGGACAGACCTGTGCCGCTTTTCCGCAGGTGTAGAGGCGGGCGCGTACGAACCAGCACCACCTGTGTCCTTTTAGCTTGTTTATCAGAACTAAAGGCGATCCGAAATGGGCCAACGTAAAATGGCAATGAAAAGAAACAAAGGCTTTCCAAAGAGGTGATTGTTTTTCCAGTTGCTCAGGCTTTTTGATCACTTCTGGGGTTAATCACCTGCAGGGAATGTTTCAAGAAACTTTGACACGAACCAATTAGATCCCTCAAGCTTGCTGTTGAGAGAGTCACCTTTTCTTAAAATTGAGTCTTGACAACTCCATTGCCCTTTAAGAGTTTCCCTTGTTTACGCATAGGTTAGCATTTGGCAAGGGTACACATCTTAAGGGTTATGTAGAAGGAGTTGTAGCTTCTTGTAGTACACTTCTTCTTAAGTTACATCAGTATTTGGCAGCGTGATTGGTATACTTAGTTGCTATTAAATAAACTGGTTAGAATTAACTGCTAATAAAAGTATGAAAATGGAATTACTCTTTCTGGGATAAAGTGCGGCATAAAAAATACCGTAAGTGTAGTAATACACGAGCACTGTCTTGCTATATCCTATTTTTAAGTAATTTGCCTTCAAGAATAGCAAATGTTTACTAGTAGTAGTATTCAGACAATATCCTTCCACCATCAGCAAATGAAGTCAACCATAATATGACTTTTCAGATGATTAACAAATAACATGCTGTTAAAGTTCTCTTTCCCATCCCATTCATTATGAATGCCGAGACATTATGCAATCCATCTGGCTCAAACATTTAGAAGTGTCCAATTAAGTTTTTTATCATTAAAAATATAAAAACTCTTAATTTTCAGGTTCAGATACTTTGTGACCCTATTTGGTGGCTTGTAACTGCCTCCAATTCCCTAATTCTCAGTGACATGTGTTTCTGCTGGTTCCAGGAGGTAAACTGCAGTTTTGCAGATCATGGGATAATGAGACTGGGAGTGCTTGGGGGAAGGCTGGGTAGAGGCCATAGGATGAGACAAAGGGAGGGAAGGTTGATGGGCAGAGCCAGGATTTACAGCTGCACCAGATTATTCATAAAACCTGTTACAGTTATTGCTTCTGTTTGATACATTTCCCCACATCATCAACATCAAGTAAACTTATTTTTAGAATCAGTCTTCTAAATAATTATAAAGACAGTTACAGAAATAGAATATGATAAAGGTGGTTTATATTAGGGTGCTATAATATACTGGGAAAACTCTTAAATCCTTCTTACTTAATTTACTCGTTTAGTGAACAGTATTTATTGAAAACCAGTTGTATATAAGATATACAACAAAGTGATATATAAGATATAGATAAGTAAACCTAGATTTCTGTTCTCAGTGAACTAAGAATTGTGACTTCTGAAATAATTATAATCCTGTTTCAGGTTTTCAGGGAAAAGATGCTATCTGTGGCACTCTTAAGGAGAGGGCTTAAATAAGTGCCAAGCAATCAGACATCTAGATTCAGAAACAAAGGCTTAAACTTTGATTAAAAAAATCTTGAACCTTGTTTTTGAGCGTTTTAGATGAGTCATATATACAGTAAGAAACATTGTGTGCATCTGTCTTTTTGCATTTTTGTAATACAGTCTCAACCATAAAACCTGCAGTCTTGGCAAGTGCAGCTCATGAGTTTGGGAAGAAAAGAGAAACCCTGTAATTCTCAGGTTTCTTAGCTGAGGATCAGGTGAGTGATTCACTAGTCCTTTGTTCTGGCTCTGTTTCATGACATAATAAACCTCCTGCAGCTCCCTTCTAAGAATAGTTCTGGTCTGCATGCTTGAAGGGTCATGACTATTATTTGTCTGAGAAAAAAAAAAAGATATAAAATTATGGTAGAAGGTTAAAAGGAATACAATAGGGCATGTGAACATTTTAACTTTTGAACTGGAATAATTTCTAGGCATTTTTCATGCATTTAGACTCCACTGAAATCCATTATAGTCATGACAAACCTCTGGCATAATAATAACCAAGGTTGAAAAACGTTTCCTCTGGTCACTTCGGGACACAGAAGATGAGGGAGACTGTAGCCTCCTTTTCTTCATCCTCATGAGTCTCCTCAACATTATCAGCTCAGAGAAGCTTGCTGAAGAGCATTGCCGTTTGGTTATTGCTCTTTGTTTCAGAAAATCAGCTGTGAATTGTGGCCCAAGTGGTGCAGAACTCATTTCTTTGAACAATGCCTCCTCGGCCTGGGAAGCGTGTTCTCTCTCCTCACTGGTAGGGGCTTATTCCAGGCTGGCTTTGCTCACAAGGAAAATCATTTAGACACAGTTCAGTGGACACTCACTCACATCTCTTTGATACCCGTGACCATTTTTGTTTAAGGAGAAATCCAGGACTGCTGTGGTAGGGTGTGCCGAATTAGAAGTGCATTTTAAGAAGCCGTGAAGAAGTTTACACAGCTTTGTGTTGTTATCCTCAGGGTTTCTGTCTTCTGTGCTTCAAAGTAAAAGAGGGCAGGATGGACACAGAAGGGGCAGCGAAGAAAACTTCTGTAGCAAAGTTAAAGTCTCAACAAGTTCTGCATTTTCGATGCAAAACCAAATGCTTGTGCCTTGTGATCTGTCGTGTTACAGAGCAGAAAAATATGTCTACTGTGTTTATTGTATGACTCTGGAAGCCAGAGCCCAAGGTTGCCAAAGGATTTCTTAAAATTCTACAGCTAATAAATGAAAAAACTGGGGTGAAAATGTTATGATTGCTAATGATGCTACTGTTTCTAGGAAATCCAGGGAGGGCAGATATGAAATCCTTTCTCTAGACTTTGGTGTTTGTAACCATATAAACTTGTTGTGGTTACAGAGTGGTCGAACACCAAGAGTGTTTTATGATTTAGTCTAATTTCGCTGAGTGGAATTGACAGTGGGCACCTTCTGATTTAAATATTTGGTTATAAGCAAGTGTATGTCATGAGAATGTGTATGGGTCATGTGCATAAATGAGAAAGAGATCTTTCTTAATATGTATTTTGGCCTGAAGAATTCTTCCATGATTAAGACAATGTGAGGGAGAGCAGCGTTTCTGATTATTATCCAGTAAATATCTTAAACAAGGAGCTCTGGAAGAAAAGGAGGAAATGAGCATTGATATAGTCCAGTCATGAGCCTGTGCATTTACTTTAGTTCAACTTTAAACTTCATAAAGAGATTCAGGAATTATTATCCCATACTACTTAATGAAACAGCGAGATTAGTTTCTTGCCCCAAATCTGAGTGAGTATGAAAGAGCCTTGGAATTAGAACCCAGGTCTGCCTGCCTCCATGTTCTGTCATGTCATGTTGTCATTCAGAAAAGCAAGGCTAAATTTATGAAAAATACTGAGTTTTCATTTCAAACTCAGCATGCCATCCAAAATACAGACATTTAGAAGTTTCTCTGATAAGCTTTCTGGTGAGTGGAGACGCTGCATTCCCTGTATGGAGTTTAGGGGGTTATAAATCCAGGTCTGGTTCCAGAAAAACATTCAAGGCTTTGTTTATAAACTGTGTTGGCTATTTGTTTAGAAGTGAGTGGTGTTTAGATTCTCTTGTGCAAATGCTTTTCCACATCAAAGTGGCCCACTTATCACTTTGAGATTGTTGTCAAATTATGCTGGGTCTAAGAGGACCCCTCATGATGTTAATATGTGTTTTCTGGCATCCCGAGACTTAGATGTTGATCTTTATCTTGTGTAAGCTTTGCTCACTTATTTTTCTTGAAATAATGCCGTATTGCTGGATGGAATCAGATGGCATGTTTCCGTAATGTTTTCAAATTGGAGACCTGAATCACCTCGGACAGTTGCTGAAAATTTCTAAACTTTGGCCAGAAGCTGGAGTTTTGATGCTCCTGAAACTACTCTGGCCATGGTGTTGAGACTATATTGCGCTGGTTTCAGATTTGCAGTATTCAAATTTGCAGTATTTGCAGAGGGTATACCCAGGAAGAAACTGAGGCTCAGGGATGTCCACCTCAAACAGCTGGGAATTGAACCTTGACTTGCCAGCAGATGCCTGCCTGGTCTAGTGACCTAATAAGCACACCTCGCCTTAAACGCACCCCTTTCTCTCCTGGGCCTTCTTTTTCTCCCTGTATCTCTGGCTCCAGGGGAGAAGAAAAGGTTGAGGATTTCAGAAGACTGGATGCCAGACTTCACTTTGGAATTCAGCCCAGCCTCGCTTCAGGCAATGCAAAGGAGCCTGGGGGGTGTTCTGAGTTTCCCTGTTTCTCTGTGTCTTACCCTCCTAGCAGCCTCTTTTCTCTGTGGTTCCAGAATTTAGCAAGGGGCTTAAGAACCTGTCTAACCATTCAGGTGCCCATGTATTAGCTATTCTATTGCCACTGGAAGGTAGAAAGATCTACTTTGGTGCTCTCACTTGTGAGTTACTGATTAACTGCTCCAAGGCAATCATGGTTTCTCTTTCATCTGCCTTCGCTTCCTTGTTGCTAGCCCACAAGAATCAAACATTTGAATTCAGCTTCCTACTTCCCTCTTCTCTCCCTCTTCAATTTGACTGAAGGAGCCACTGGATCTTGGAACAGGTGTCTGTGGACTGCTAGAAGAACCTCTGGTGGGAACTTTGACCTATTTGTTTTTTTCAGGGGTCACAATCCTGGACCAGAAGTGAAGCGAGTGGATTTACTGTTTGATTGCATATAATTTAGTTCTCTAGACTTCCTATTTCTTTTTGCCAAACAACTCTTTCTTAACTTTGAGTGATAATGGGATTAAAAAGATTTTTTAAAAAAATGATTTCTTTTTAAAAAAAAGGAATTAGGGTTATGAAAAGATCCTTTGATTTTTATTTCAATTCAAAGACTGTTGGTTCCAGACAACCATTTGTGTAACACAGAAAGAAAGGGAGGGATGGGAAAAGAAGGTTTTCTTCTATGCATATAGAATACCTCTGGAAGGGTACACTAGAAACTAATCATGTTGGTTGCTGGGAGACATACCAGAGGTTAACTCTTCACTGTATACCTTCTTATGCCCTTGGATTTTGAAACTTAATGAGTAAAATTAAAGTAGAAAAAAAAACAAACTTGGGTTTCAATATTAAAGAAACAAGTAACTATCTCCGAGGACTTAAGTAATAGAAGTAGGAAACTGGGAAGCGATTTTAAAGAAAAAAATTCTTTTTTTTAGCTATCTTTTTAAGGCTCACCAGAGTTCACATTTAGTAATTTCTTTTGTATTTAGTAATTTTTAAAAGCAGTGTTTTTCAACACTGGATTTCAATAACAGGGCTTGGGGAGGTTTTTTTTTTTTTTTCAATTTTCATAGTTTTCTTCCCTCTCATAAAACGTCAGCTATTGGCTGCTCCCAGACTCAGTGGGCCAATGAGAATCTGTTCCATTCCTGAGTCACTAAACCTGTCTTCTGCTGGCAATGTGTTTATGGAATGAAGCCTAGAAAGCCCTCTCCCCAACCCACTCATCCCCCTGCCCTGTTTTTTTCCCCCATGGAGAAATCCCTGTAATGTGATTATTTTATTTTCCTAATCAGTGTCTAAATGCGAATGTTAGAGGAATCTTTTCTTCTCAAATTGAAAAGGGGGAAAAAAAGCTTATGCAAGTGTTTTATTCTGAACCACAGCTTTTCTTTTTGGAACAGGTTGTGAATTGGAAGTAGTTTTCTGTTTACTGGATAAATCTTGAAAGTACAATCTTGGAAGAGAGAGAACACAAAACTGTGTACCAACTTCTTTTTCACTCGTCAAAAGAGAAGTGTGAAATGTATTATTTAGTGTCCAAGTTTCAACCAAAAGCAAAAGCTCAAGTCAGGGTCAGTTCTCAACACTTTTTGAAAATTCCTCATTGAAAACTGAAGGTAATAAGACATTCTTTCCTCACAGAATTCTTATTATTCTGTTACTTTTGCTGGAAAAGAATAACTGAATAGATCGTACATTTAAATTTTTTAAACCTCAAAGGGAATTTAGTGAAAATTCTCTAACCTCTGTCCTTCAGCCATCCAGTTATTTAATAGACCAATAGTTATTGGTTTCTTCTGTTTTTAAAAATATATATATATATAAGCATATGGATGCTTTTTGCCTTCTTTCAGAAATCAGATGGTAATGCACCATCCATATGAATCTGCTTTTTTTTTTACTGTAATGATATATATTATATGTCATTCCATATCAGCATATAGGGCTTCTTAATTTTTTTTCTTTTTACTTACTTTTAATTATTTTTTGGCCACACCATATGACATGAGAGATCTTAGTTTCCCCAACCAGGGGTGGAACCCACACACCTGGTGTTGAGAGTGTGGAGTCTTAACCACTGGACCACCAGGGAAGTCCCCTTTTTATTAATAGCATACTTTAAAATGGCAGTTTTAGAGTCACAGCAAAATTGAAGGGAAGGTATAGACTTTCCCATGTATTCCCTACCCCCCCCAGTGCATAGACTCCCCGTTACCAACATCCTACCAGAGTGGTACATCTGTTATGACTGATGAACCTACACTGAGACATCATAGTCATCTAGAGTACATGCTTTACATTATAGTTAACTCTTGGTGGTGTGCATTCTGTGGGTTTGGACATGTGTAATGAGCTTTATGCATCACTATGATATCATACACTGTGTTTTCACTGCCCTAAAAATTTCATGCTCTGCCTGTTCAGCGCTCTCCCACCCTTCAGTCCCTACCAATCACTGACCTTTTCATTGTCTTGCTAGTTTTGCCTT